CTGAACTCTGGGCCTGGGGGCGCTGTCCCTCAGCTCTTCAGCTCAAGGCTAGCGCTCTACCACTTGAGCCACAGCGCCACTTCCGGCTTTTTTCTTTTTTCTTATGTGGTGCTGAGGGATCAAACCCAGGGCCTTGAGCATGCAAGGCAAGTGCTCTACCACTGAGCCACCTTCCCAGCCCCCGCTTTTTCTTTATTTTTCAGGTAGGGTATTGTGTTTTTGCATGACCTAAGATCTCCCTACCTATGGCCTCTCACATAGCTGGAATCACAGGTAGCACCACTACTTAGCTTATTGATTGAAACACAGTCTAATGTTTTGTCCAGGCAGGTCTAAAAGCACAATCCTCCTGATCTCTATCTCCAGAGTAGCTGGAGTTACAGGTGACAGCCATTGTACTGGGCTTGGGGGTCCCCTTTTACAGTAAAAGGGAAACAAGCTCAGAGAGTTAGGATCCATCCAGGTTCAGAGCCCAAAGTGGGGACCCAAAGGCAGAACCTCATATAGGCTAAGGAGGACATAAGGATTAAGAAAACTTAGAGGCTCACTCTTCTCTAAGTGACCAAACCTTAGTAGTCAGCACACTCACCAATGGCTACATGGGCTGAGGGGGTCTGGAGCCAAGGACTGGGGTCACTCTCCTTGTCTGGGCATGGGATGGGCATTTCCACCTTGCTGGAATCCCGTCTCAATACCTCACATTCTCCTAAGGCTGGATCGGGGGCTGGAGCTGATGCCTTCCTACCTGGGGAGAGAGAGAATGTGACTTTCAGGGTGCTTCTTTCCTTCTCCCCTCCCCCCACCTTTGCTCTACAAGCAAAAAAAAGTACCTTCTTCTTGGACTCTCTTGGCACCAATTCCTTCCTCCCTCCCTCCTTTCCCACTTCTCTCTCTTCTTTTTTTTTTGTAGTCATGAAGCTTGAACTCAGGGCCTGAGTGCTCTCCCTGAGCTCTTTTGCTCACGACTAGCACTCTAACACTTTGAGCCATAGCTCCACTTCCAGTTTTTGAGTGGTTAACTGGAGAAACAAGTCTCACAGGGGCTTTTCTGCCTGGGCTGGCTTTGAACCTTGATGCTCAGATTTCAGCTTCCTGAGTAACTAGATTACAGGTGTGAGCCACAGGCGCCAGGCTGCTCCTTGGCTTTTTTTTTCTCAAGGCTGATGCTGTATCATTTCAGCCACAGCTCCACTTTTTTTTTTGTGTGTGGTAGTTAACATGCTTTAAGCTTTGATACTCAGACCTTTAGCCTCCTGAGCAGCTAGGATTACAGGTTTGAGCCACCAGTATCCAATATCACTTATTTTGTTAGCTTTGGCCCCATACACTGCCCCTCCCCCTTTATTTACCTTTCATCCATGCCATCCTACCTGAGGCTGAGTCTTCCCCATCAGAGCCTCTGAGGATCTCAAAGCTCATTTCCATCTGGTTGTCAGTGAATTCCTCCTCAGGGATGGTCCTCATGATCTCAGGGCCCAGTCCAACCTGGCCCTGCTCTTCACAATGTCTTGATGCCACTTTCTTGGCTCTTCGACTTCTACCACTCAGGCTGGCATGCTCAGGGATACTACTTGGGACAACCACCTTATCTATTTTCTTCCTAGCCCTGCCTCGGCCCCGGGAAGCAGTGCTCTGTCTCTTAGGTTCCTCTAAAAGCTGTGCTTCAGCTGAGACAGGGTCTTCCAAGTCACTGTCATCACTGAAATTCACCTAGGATCCAAGGAGAGAGGCCAAGGGCTTTTTAGTAACACTTTCTGGCAGCAGGTGGTGCTGTGGAGGCCCCAGCAGGTACTACAAGGCAGGCCTCTGGAAGATGTCAGAATGGGACTTCCCATATTACACTCTGGTAAGAGGAGGGAATATAAAATGAGGACAGATTAAAAAGGGATATACTGGTCCTGCAGACAGGAGGAGATCAGGGTTCTACTAGACCTTAGGAAGCTATTCCGTAAGGACACTGTTCTACAGAAGGTTCTCCAAAACCACTAACACCCAAACCACCTAGCCACAGTTCCGTCTCACCTTGAGGCGTGTCTGGACTCGCTGATGCACCTTGGGGGCCTGAGGAACCTCAGGCTTGCTCTTTGTAGTATAGACTTCTTCAAACACAGTGAAAGGGACACGAGGACCAGGTGGCCTGATTCGGCCTAGAGGTTTAGGTGTACTGGGTGGCCCTCCACCTACCAGACTTTTCTGAGAGCTACCATGGAGGGATGAGGGAGCAGAGGCTACCTGCTGGCGTCCTCTTCCAGACCGTTTTTGGCTCTGAGTCTTAGAGAGCTCTAAGCTTGGGGGGCTTTTTATTAACGGTGGCTGCCATCCCCAGGTGTCTGCAAAAAGCTGCGTAGTGCAGCATTTGAGGCTAGCCAGCTTTGCAAGGACCTGACTCAAGAGCAGACTGGCTCTCCAGTGCTCCAGGTAGTGTATCCTTGCTGTCACAAATTTCAGCCCTGACTCCAGGACCTTCCCTAGGCTCTTGTTTGATGGCTGGCTCAGGCCCTCCAGTGCCAGCTGTGTATATGCGTGAGCCAAGATCTCATCCAATAGGCTTGGGACAGGGGAAGGGGGTGCTTTATGCTTCAAGGAAGTTTGGAGAGCCTGAGTAAGGCGCTTGGTAGCTGCAGGGCAACGCTTCAGCACAACTTGCAGCAGATCCATACCCTGGGCCTCATGGCCTATGGCCAGATTCACCCCTGCAGTGACCAACACCCAGCGCAGACAAACTGCAGAGAGGACCGGGCTGGCACACAGAGAGCAGTCACAGGTGGGGGAATGGGACAGGAAGCCGGGACTGGGTGGGGGCTTGGATTTCAGAATTGGAGAGGAGTTTGTAGAAGGTGCAATAGGGCCAGGCTCTTTAGCCACAGTAGCCACCAGCTCCAGATCAAGGCCTTTAAGGAAGGGCTCTTCTTCTAAGACCTGTGGGATATGGGGGACCTGGGCCTGTTGCTTCTTCTTCTGCAGGTGGACCTTTTTCACAGACTCTGGATGCTGGGCCACCCCACTGAACTCTAGAGAGAGGAATAAAAATTTCCAAATGGAGAGAAACTATCAGGAATTTTCTGAGCTACTTTAAGACCCAACTACCTAATATACACATTAGTTAGAAATTACTCATATATATATATGTATATATACATATATATATATATATATATGTATATGTATACACACACACACACACACACACACACAATTACGCAACATACTATGATACCAGGGCAGGCTTTTTTATTTGCCAGTCCTGGGGTTTGAATTCAGGGCCTTGGTGCCATCCCTGAGATTTTTGCTCAAGGCTAGCACTCTACCACCTGAGCCACAGCGCCACTTCTGGCTTTTTCTATGTATGTTGTACTGAGGAATCAAACCCAGGTCTTCATGCATGCTAGGCATGCACTTTACCACTAAGCCACATTCCCAGCCCAAGTGCAGGCCTTTTTTTTTTTTTTTTTTAAGAGAACATTCTGTCAGGAGCCAGTAGCTCACTCCTGTAATCCTTGTTACTCAGGAGGCTCAGGAGGCTGAGATCTGAGGACCATGATTTGAAGCCAGCCTAAGCAGAAGGTAGCTTATTAGCCCTGGCTAGCATAGCCTGTTAAATTTCTCAACTTCATTTTACAAATGAAAAAAAAATCTCTCCTCTCACATAACTACACAGTGTTTCACAAAGGCAAAACATTGTGCCCTAAATACAATGTTTTCTAGTTAGCCCTCCTGATAACAATGCATCTGTGCAATCCAGTATTGCATCTACTAGCTACATGTGGCCACCCAAATTGCAAAATGTGGTGACAGTGATTGAGGACCTGACTGTTAAATTTTATTTAAATTGAGTTTAGACAGGTGCTAGTGGCTCATACCTGTAATCCTCGCTACTCGGGAGATTGAGATCTGAGGATAAAGGTTTAAAGCCAGAGGGGGCAGAAAAGCCAGTGAAACTCTTGTCTCAATTAACCAGCAGAAAGCTGGAAGTAGAGGTGTGGCTCAAGTGATAGAATGCCAGCCTTGAGTGAAAAAGCCAAAGAGCAAGAGGCCTTGCATTCAAGCTCCAGTATCAGCACAAAAATAGCTTTAAAAAAAATCCAAAATGGGGGCTGGGAAGGTGGCTCAGTGGTAGAGCACTTGCCTTGCATGCATGAGGCCTTGGGTTCAATTCCTCAATACCACATAAGCAGAAGAAAAAAAAAAGCTGGAAGTGGCGCTGTGCCTCAAGTGGTAGAGAGCTAGCCTTGAGCTGAAGAGCTGAGGGACAGTGCCCAGGCCCAGAGTTCAGGCCCATGACCGGACCCAAAAAAAAAAAAAAAAAAAGAAATGTACTCATTACCTTGCCCATGTAATAGTAACCCCTCTGCACAGTATTTTCACAATTAAAAAAAAAAAAAAAAAGAATTCACTAGGAAGCCCCATGACTGACCCAAAAAAAAAAGAATTCACTAGGTTTCTAGTTATAGCTTAAATTAGCTGGGTACAAGTGGCTCACACCTGTAATCCTAGCTACTCAGGGGGCTGAGCATTAAGGATCAAGGTAAGCCAGCTAGTGCTGTAAAGTCTGAGAAACTATCTCTAACAGCAAAAACCTGGAAACTGGGCTGGGAAGATGGCTCAGTGGTAAGAGTGCTTGCCTTGCATGCATGAGGCCCTGGGTTCGATTCCTCAGCACCACATAAGCAGAAAAAGCTGGAAGTGGTACTATGGCTCAAGTGGTAGAGTGTTAGCCTTGAGCTGAAGAGCTGAGGGACAGTGCCCAGGCCCAGAGTTCAGGCCCCACGACCAACAAC